GAAAAGAACTAACTTTTGTTGGGTCATTAACCTTGTTTAATGCACTCAGCTGCTCTGCAAAGCAGATATTATTATCCTTATTTTACAGATGAGGAAATTGAGACCCAGAGGTAAAAATGGACTTTTCCAGGGCTTCTCAGCTACATGGTGGGAAAGTGCAAGATTCAAAATCTGCTTTCACTGCAGCTGGCTGAGGCTGAAATTTTAGAGCAAACTTTTTTCTTAGAATATATGTGGAATAAGGGAAAAACAGTTTTATGCTTGGAGTCGTTTCAAGCCAGGTATTTTTTATTGACTTAATCTTTGAAAACTCTTTTTGAGTATTAATATGTTTGTAGAGCCTGAAGTTCACCTGTTATCTTCAGAAAGATCTCAGGTTTTGTTAAAATTGCAGATACCACGTCCCACCCAGATTTGCTGAATCAGAATCTCAGGATTGGTGCCCTGGAAACTGGCATTTAGTGAAAACATCCCACAGGGGTTTTTAATCTCACTAAAGTGTTTGGGATTTTGTTTTTTAAAGGTTGTTCAAGAGCTTCTAAACCCCATCTGCAAAAAAAAAAAAAAAAAAAGGCATGCTGATAGTTTAAAAGAATTGTTAGCATTTATTTTTCAGTCTCATTCTGGCTTCCAGTTGATGAGTAAGTGCTTGCTGGTACTTTATGCTTTCAGCTGCTATAATTAATAGAACTCTCCTTCCCAAGAGAGAATGCAGTCGTTTCCAGGGAGTTTTTAAGATTTGAAGCAAACAAGCCCCTGACCTTTTCTAGTTGAGATTCCAGGCTAGGGTAACAAAATGGTGCAGGATTAAGTATATAGGATTTGGATTTAAATATATTTAGGTTCTAATTCCAGAACTGCCATTTACTCCTACATAGCCTCAGACAAGTTGGTCAACCTCAAGGCCTTGGTTTTCTTATTTATTAAATGACAGTAATACCTGCTTTAAAATTTTGGCGTGAATATTAAATAAGTTCAGGGATATAATCTGTAAAGCATCTGGCATGTGATGGAATGCAATAAATGTTCTCCCTTTCCAGAACTTTTTAATCTTGTATTTAAAATGAGTTTCTTTTCTCAACTTGCCACTAATGTGACCATATTTAGGACTAAAAGTCTATTGTTTTGAAATCACAAAATTTAAAACAGGGCCATTAAAAATAAATTTT